CTTACACTAAACCAGCTACTGTTTCTAAGTCATATTCTTTCCTACTTTTCCTCATCAGAACACTGCTATAGACGTTACGCTGAAAAACAGGATCATGTAGAGTTTAAAATAGAGCTCACATTCATAATAACATTTATGGTTTGTTTTCCATAATTGTATTTAGGTACATTTATTTTTCTTCACTAAATGTCATGTGTTTTAGAAAACAAAAATGTAATAACTGTATAAAATATTTAACTTCCACCTCAGAGGGAATCTTTTCTAATAGAAAATCATTTTATGATCCAGTTCTCTGAACACTAATTTCTTCAACTCAAGTAGTGCAGTCACACAGATCACATTTCTCAAAGCTCAGCTTTCTCAGAAGTCTTCATCTTACACCTAAGAACAAAATCAGTTAACATCTGCTCTGGGACTTCCCTGGTGGTCCAGTGGCTAAGACTCCACACTCCCAATGCAGGGGGCCCAAGTTTGATCCCTGGACAGGGAACTAGATCCCACATGCCGCAACTAAAGATCCCGCGTGTCACAACTAACGCGGCAACAAAGATCCCGTGTATCGCAACTAACACCCAATGCAGCCAAATAAATAAATAAATATTTAGGAAAAAATAATCTGCTCTGACAGAGGACCCAAAGGAGACTGGGGGGCTTCCCTGGTGGCGCAGTGGTTGAGAGTCCGCCTACCGATGCAGGGGACACAGGTTCGTGCCCCGGTCCGGGAAGATCCCACATGCCGCGGAGCAGCTGGGCCCGTGAGCCCTGGCCGCTGAGCCTGCGCGTCCGGAGCCTATGCTCCGCAACGGGAGAGGCCACAACAGTGAGAAAGAGGACTTTTACCTTGGCTGTGAATTTACATGTTACAATTTGTGAGCTGTAGTTTATCCCTGACTATGGCTCAAATAAAAAATTAAATAGCTCACGTTTTAAAGGCCCAATTGACCAGCATAGTTTGTTGATTAAATTACTGTCAACTATATACTGGCTATCCAGGTGGAGTCTGTGCAATAATGAATACATATATATTGTATCTGGATCAACCCTTCAGGGAGAATAGAACAATCAATCAATTAAAAGAAAAGATACCTAATTAGCTAAGGTTAGCTTAATTGATCCATAAGACATTTTTTAATTAAACTTTTAACAATATTTGCTATTTGTGATTGCCTTCATTGTTCTTGCCCTCCTCTGCTCTCTGATATCCGAGTATTTAAAAGTTATTACACAGCCATGATCCTGAGCCAACATCCAGGTGAGCAAACTGTGTCAAAAGAGGGAGAGAAAGAAATCATGAGGGAAACAGTGCAGACCTGGTTTAACTAGAGTGGACATGCCAACATAAGGCCATAGAGATACAAGTCTCATGCACATGCTGCAAATAACAAGGTTTCCCAGAAAATGCAGAAGAAGTAGAACTCTGTTAGCCTACCTAGGGGGGCATCCTCTCTTTGATAGCTTTTAGCCAATCAACTTACTTTAGGCAGAAGAAAATACAAGACTCTCTATTTGGAAAACTGTCTGAGGTTTTTGCTCTTATAAACTTTGTCTTATAAGTTTATAAGAGACCTCTTAGACCTGGGGAGACCTCTGAGACCTGAGAAGAAACAAGTCACTTTAATAAAACATGTCTCTACGTGGGCTTCCTGTAAAGGGTCATGGTGAATACCTGTGGAAGCATAAAGAAGTAAATCTAGGCAGAGGTATCTACATTTAGAATGCTTTCCCATAAACGTTTTATTCAGAGGAACACTGAAAATATAAATGTGAAGGCATTTTGAAAAGCATGGGAAGAATGGCAGAAGATTAATTTAGGATGCAGACAGTGGAAACGATCACATCAAAACATGATTAAAACATGAGCTAAACCATGCCCTATGAAATAGAATCGCTAGATACATTAAAAGCTTATCTTCAGCCCCAGCACCATGATCTTTTACAAAGCTATTAGAATATTCCTCTAGATAAAGTCTGAAGCAAACTTTGAGTGGAAATATCTATGAATGTTTCCCCATCTTACTTTTTCAGCATGCTATGATTGTAAGTCCATCTGTCATTTAACCAAATAATGTTTAAAAGTCTTGTAACAATGATATTTATCCAAATTGATTTTTATCTATGGGAATGCAAAGAGCATAGAAAGCCCTCTTTCTCTACTCATCAAGCGTTAGGTTCTTTGACCCTTAAGTAATCTTTTGGAGAATTTCTGATTGTCCCATCTGTAAATCTTGTGGGAAGTAATAAGCCTGCTATTTACTCTGTTACATGGAAAAATTCCGTATTTGTTGTCTGTGATCCTTGCAAACTCAGCAGATGGTTACCACACTTGAGGCAATTGTTCTCTGACTATCTTTTTAAGTGGGTAATGGAGAAATCGTTATCTAAGCTTTCTTTTGTTATTGCAGAGTTAATACAATCTTAAGCAATTTTTTTTAGCTATATTACACAAGCAAAAATCAAAATAGTTTTTCTTCTGAAGAAGAAAATGGCAAAATAGATCTATTACAGTAAAAATAATTATCTATTGATACTTATTTACTAAAATCTTGAGAATAGAAGATTTTGCTTAGGTAACTTCAACTTATGAATCTATTTTCTGATGCTTATCTAGCAAAAAAAGGGCAATTATAAAAATTACTTGATTTGTATGTCGTATGTACAATGTATGTGTTATAGTATTTTACACTTAATTCAATTTTAACGTGAACATTTTATTATCTCTCCATACTTTTTTATTGTGTGTATCTCTATATTTATATTCATGTTTCTACTTGGAAAAATTTGGTTTGTATTTTGTAATCCACACAAATGGATTAAATGTATAGGGTAATAAATTGCATGCTCAATTTTGTGTTTAAGTCTGTGTCTATACAAATAAATCTTGTGTCTATATACATATTTTACTAATATCATTGAAGCAAAATAAAATTGTCAATTCCGCAAATTTACTGGCTTTTCCTTCTCTCTCACTCTTGTTCTCACGGCGTCTCTCTTTTACTCTCTTTCATTTTTCCTTTTTGGCTTGTTTACATGATGTCTAATCTTCAATTTGATCCACTTAATTGTCTTTTCAGTGGAATGCTTTGCTGTCTTATAGACACAGTGCTAATATAGATGAGAGTGAGGAAAAGCATTTGGCATATTTTAAAAGTGACAAAAATGGAATAAAGAGATAGATTTTTTAAAGTATCATTATTAAGATTCACCAAATTGGTGCAGATGTCTTTACTTTGCCTTCAGGGTTGGACATTGGTCATATTAAGGATGTGTACTTAACACATTAAGAGGTTTTGTATAAGGTTGGGAGTTTTCTGATGATTCAACCCCCAAATGACATTAAAATTCCCCCAAGATCAGACTTTTGGGTTGCTTTGTATGGCTCCCCATTGCTTTTTGGAAGGAAACCCAGGAAGAAGAATAGCTTATAATGCTCACCATTTAAAATGAAGGTAATCGGAATCCAGTAGAACTTTTCAATTCCAAATCTAAGCCCTTTAGAGCTTTCCACAGTCCATTTAGCATAGCTTCATCTGTTAGTACTTGTTCTGTTTCAAGCCAAACTCCTGTCACACTAATATTCTTTCACTTCTCAAATCACACAAATTACTTCTCCCTTGCCTTCTAGACCACTCTTCCCCACACGTCCTTCTTCCCTTTGTGTGGCTAACTCGTACTCATCCTTCAGACTCTAGTTTATGTTTTCTCAGGGAAGCCTAGTCTACCTAGATTAGATAACTCCTTGCTATCTGCTTCTGAAGAGCCCTGTATCTCTCCCATCATCATTTTTTAAAAAATTATTTGTTTGTTATCTTTTTTATTCACTGTGTATGAGATCCACAAGATGATTACAAAAGCGGGTAGGACAAGAGAACCTGAATTTGAAGAAGAGAATATGGAAATGAAATTTAGGCAGAACTCTGACGAAGAAGAGGCCCCACAGCAGGACCAGAGAAGATCTATAAGCAGGGAGAAATTAACTCTAGAGGGAAGCAATGTTTCTAGGAACAGAAACTACAGGCGTTGAATTTTCAGTTGGTTCCTCTTTGTACATAACTCTCAAATCTTTTATTAATTCTATTATGCTGCACACCTTGGTGTTAACGTACACTGGGAATTAGAAGACAACGGGCTTTGCTCTACACCACTGATAAAGTTGACTCAGAGAGAAAACGGCAGTTGCAGGTACCCAGAGCGATTGTAAGGAGATAAATGGCATAGGAAAAGTAGATTGCAATGGGAACGAACAAATGAGAAAATGAGAGCGCACTCTCTTCCTCACCCCAAATTGTGGAGCTCTAAAAGAAAACCATGGACTTAAAATACCCAACAGCAATAGTAAATGAGCTGGGATCTGCTTGTAAAAATCCAGTTGGACATCCTCTATGTCTTTCTTTCTATTTTTCTTTCCAATTTACTGACTCTTTATCTCTCTGATTTAAATTTCAGATAAAGGTCTTTGGGTTTATTTTCTAATCTCCAGTTTTCTTTTCAGCTGTGTCAAATCTGTTAGAAAACTCAGCCACTGAGTTTTTTGTTAGACTGTGTTTTTACTTTTAAGAGTTTTGTTTGATTTGTTTTCAAATACGCTCTGTCTTTAATCATATTTAAAATTTCTTTGCCTCAGATGTACAGTTTTCCTCAATTAGCTGAGAAGTGCCTTATAATGTGTACCTTCTTCCTGCTTTCACTGAGTGCCCAGATGTGTTAAGCTGTACAGACACCTAGGCTATCTGTTGAAAATCTGAAGTCACCCTTATTAGCAAAATGGTATACAGTAGGGAGTTGAGAATATTTTCATGATTCTGTGGAAGAGACTACTGATTGTAATCCATCTCTGGAAAGGAGTTATGCTTTTCTACAAATAAAGGTTGGTAATTTTCCACATGATATATAAAATACTAAGGGAAAGCACTTATGTTTTCTAAATCAAAGTATGATTTTTAATATAAATGAATAATACAATAAATCTTAAAACTGCCAAAGAAAAACAGGCAAACCCCTGATGACTTTGACAATTAATTTTATTTTAAATGTCTTATAGATACATTCATATTTTCATACTATCAAAAACAGTAGAAAGAGTCTCTTTGGGAACACATAAAAGCATCTTAAAGTAAAAAATAAAGTTGATGTTAAAATATACAATAATTTAAATAAAATTATGAGAATCTAATTGTTCGGAATAAATAAATAAGAAATAACAAAAAATTACTTTATTCATATTCCCTGGTGAATTTTTGCTGTTTTGAGAAAGATAGTCATAACCCAGGATTCAGGTGATTTAACACAGCACTGCATAATAAGGCTTGCAGTGACAAGACCAAACCAGGCATATTAAAAGTAGGATTGCCAACACAATTAAAATTTCAGATAAATAATGATGTATTTATACTAAAAAATTATTTATTGTTTATCTGAAAGAAAAATCAACTGGATGTGTTTTTTGTTTATTTTCTATTAATTCGCTAAATCTGGCCACTGTGATCATAATATAACAGCCTTGATCAAAGTAGTTCTGTAATACATCACTTAGTATAAAAAATAAATATAAATTCACTACCATCATTATACTTATCAACAACGTTTCTTTCCCATTTCTCCAAATTCATGCACAAACATTATTATATTTGAGGCTTAAATAAATATATAAATAATAAATAGGTGAATAAGTTACACTTCAAAATAATTTACATAACTGAATAAAATTTAAAGTGTTTCCACATGCCCTCACATCTCTGTGAGGTAGGTTAGTGGCTGAGATGTTTTCCTCCAGTTTGGGAGTGAAGAAGAAACTGAGGCTCAGTTGAACAAGGACTCATGAATCCTGGTCAGCAGACTAGGGTTGCAAGATTTAACAAAAAACAAAAACGACAAACAGGATTTCCAGCTAAATTTGAATTTACCGTACACAATGAATAATTTCTAAAATATAAGTGTGTCCTACATGGAACAATGTATGTGGGACATTAAAAAAATATTCATTGTTTTACTTAATATTCAAATATAACTGGGCATCCTGTATTTTATCTGGCAACCCTACACCAGACCTACACAGTACATGAGGCATTGAAGTAGATTTGTTTGAAGTTTCTTTGGTATCTTTACTGGGGAATTCTTGGAAACCAAGGACAAATGGATTTTTGGTTGTTGTTGTTGTTTTCATGGATCTTTCTTCTCAGCTCTGAAAAGAAATAAAATAAAATAAAAAGTTTTAAAATTAGCAATGTTCTAAATAAGAAGGAATGTATGGCTTTTGAAAATATATTTAATATAGAAATTAAGAGAGTCTTAGACATTTATGTGTTAGAACTACTCTATACTTTCAGCTATAAATAGAGAGATCAGGTAAGTTATGTAAACCAGAACACTTCTGAGATTGAGAGTCATACTAATGACACAGGACACAGGCATATACCCACACTTGCCTGGACAAACTGAGATATATGATCTCCCAGTCATGAGTACAACAAACTCACTGTTGCTGCTATTTTTTTTTAAATCAAAGAGGCAGATACTTAAAAGAAAATTTTCAGCAGCAGCAGGAAATTTATAGGTTGACTTCTGAACTGTACGTCACAGGATAAATGAAGATTCTAAATTAAAGAAAAAACAACTTACCTCTTCAAAAATATCTGTACAACCTTCTGCACCCACTTTTCCTTGGGGTTTAAGCAGACCTCTTTGCCATTGACAAGCTTAACACTGAAATAAGAGAGATATGATTAAAATAGTATTTAATGGGTTTCCAACAGCCCTTTGGCATTCAAGTCATGGTTCCTTAAGTACAGGCATAAAATATAAGTCCAAACTAATTTTTAGCTATGAGTCATGGAGGGTACAATATTTAAACGCCATGGAGACAAAGAATTTTCCCTTTCTGTTTTGCTTACTATGTATTCCTAGTACCTAGAACTTTGCTGGATTCTTCCACCTTCCTCAATTCTAGGTTTGCTAAAGTAAAGTATCTAATCACTTTTGAAATTACTTACATGATTTCTGAATTTTCACAGTGTGGTCCACTCTCAATCACTCGCAATTCTCTGATAAATTTGGGGTGGAAAGGTGTGGAGTGTGTATTTATGCATTGGCATCGAAGTTCTGAGCTCATTCTTGATAGAACTGCAGCTGTGAAAAAAAAAAAGCAATTAAGAATTGATTTCATTAACAGGCATAGCTCAGCTAGCTTCGCCCTTGGTAATTCCAGTGTGATCATTTGGTGACTGTGTGTTTGGGAAGCAACACATCTTTAGCAAACCTATTCCTGAAATTGATGGCTGGATATTCTCCTAGCCCCTGACCTCAGTTTTTCTCTTTGTTTTAAAAACAGTCGTTCCTGACAACATTGAATGACATAATGTTGTCATTATGGAGTTGTCTTTGGGCAATGTTGACATCCTCATGGTACTTCTTCTCCTACTCGACATTGCATAATCTTCTGTGATACCACAATGTTATTCATGGTAGGCAAGATCCACCAACAGGAAAATTGCCTTCAGGAAGAACTAATAGAAATATATGTGAGTTGCACAGTGATTGTCCTATATTTTAGCAAAATCTTTGATGTTTAAAAGTATATATATATATATATACCATATAAAATGTTTATATATACCATAAACATTCTAAACTGTATTTATTTCATAAGAGGGATCCCAATAAGGTTTATAATCTGTCTTTAAGCCAAAGAGCCATTGATGGTTGTTTGAAGCTCGTCAATTAAATAGTACATGGAGTAAAATTACCTGAGTTTTTACTCAGTATTAAAAGATAAGATGGGTATATGTGGCCTCCAATAAAACATACTTTAAATTACAGATTTATGTTAAATATATGTATACTACAGAGTATGAATGATAGGAATAGAACTCTATATAAATCAAACTTTACAATTTTCTAAATATTATATTTATACAACCTAAAAAATTAAAGACTTCAATTTAACATTAAATGACTGCAAAGATGGTTTTCTCTTGCTGAATAAAAGGATGTCTGTTATCGAGGCATTAAGGATAATCTTTCTATCTGAGGATCACATTTAGACACAGCAAACTTCTGTAGATAAGAAGGATGTGCTTACCTTTACACAGAGCTGCAGAAAGCAGGAAGGCTGCCAAGAGAGCAATAACCAGCTTGGAAGTCATGTTTACAGAAGGCGCTGTCTTTCTGGTTTCTTCCTGGCTCTTGTCCTAGATGGTTGTGAGCTCTGCTGTCCCAGAGGACCTGTGTCAGATGGGGAGCTCCCGTGGCTTTTTATATTATAGTAAGAGTAGGGAACAAGTGCACCCTCATGCTTGCATCATGTCAGAGGAAATTCCACAATATGCAACCATCTGCCCGCCCTTTGAGAGCAGACCTGAGTCATCTGACTTCCCTAGTGATTTGTTTCTTACTAAGTTTTCAGCGTGATTGAAATTTTATTTGATCTTTCAAATAATTTTATTGAATTTTTTGGAAACATGTTTCTTTTAAAATGTTTTAAAATATTTTTTTAAATATTCAAACTTCTCAGTTTGATACATTATTGTCAGTGGTAGTTCTTTTTATTTATAAATAACTTTATCATAGTCCTATCTTGCAGTAGTCAGAGTAAGGTCATTTGTTATTGTTCTTTTTGACACAGTCATTTCTTTAGGTAACATATATGCTGTAATGATAGAGAAGGTAATCTAGTCAACCACTTTTACGAGAAGCCCATTTCTAAGCACTTTGGAAAGTTTCCAGGAACCATTACCGCTTTCAGGGAGCATGTTACAACTTTTCAAAAGATTTGGTTTTCTAATACATGCTTGACAGAGTGAAAGGGGATAGCTTTCAGTTCAGTATCGTAAATATTATCAAGTAACTTCTGAGTAATGTGGGAATCTATAGATGGGTAAGACTAAGTACTTGTTTTTAAAGAGTTTGGTCTGTCAGAATAAGAAAGCAATATAAGGACCAGGCTATGTTACAGAACAGACAAGTGGTATCAAGATATTTATTCCAACAAGGGCACAAGGGCAGAATCTTCCATAAGCATTTTGAGCAGGGTATTGAAGTGCAGAGGACTCTAATAAAGGAGGGTGAAGGGAAACAGCATGTTCTAGATAGAGATGCTGTTCAAAGACACTCAAGTGGTAAAAGGAAGAATTGTTTATGTTCCAGGATGTGGTTCCCTGGGATTACTTGGTTGGAGTGGGATGAGGTGGTGTGTAATGGAAAAGTAAGCAGTATATACTTAGTGGAAAGAGCATCTGGGTTTAAACCCTTGTTCAGCCACTAATTTTTGTGTGGCTTTTAAGCTTTCTGAATTCCAGTTTCCATATCTATAAAATGGTTTTAATAACATCCACCTGTCTCATAAAGTTCATATACGTAAACTTCCTGGCTTAACTTTTAAGCTGGTGAATTTCCATCTACCCCAAGAGCCATGGCTTGTATTTCTCATTTTTGTCAGATGGTTGACTTCCAAACTGCAAAGATATTCCACCAAAAATCATTTCTTAAAAATCTCATTTGCCTTAGAGGATTCTTGATAAAAGATTGGTTTCTGAAATACAAAGTTGAGCCAGATTTCAGCATGTAATGCAATAATATAATAAAATAGAAACAACATCAGTGTAAATTATGATTTGCTAGAATTTAAAGCTCCAGATCAAAATCTGGTTGCATTAGGGTTCGTTACCATTTTGGATAGAAAATCTGGAGTACAGAGTCTTAAAATCTATGGAATTCTAGAATGCTTGAGGAAGCACCTAGTTTAAATACCGATATAGGATTTAAATTAAATTCTTGACAAAAACATTATTGAAAATTAGGCCAAGAGTAATGATGTTTCAGAATGTGAACACTTGTGGTTTGGGGAGAGAACGTCCTTTGCTGAAAGATTTGTATAGTGACCCCAACTAACTTCTTAAATATAACTTCAATTTACTTGATATCAGGGACTGTGTGTGTGTTTTTTAATCCTCACAACAATGGGATAAGTAATAATGCCCTCATTTTACAGATGAGGAAACTCAATAACGTCTCCAAGTTCATATATCTAAGTAGTGGTGGAGCTGAGAGCTTTTGTCCTGGTCTAAAAGCACATTTACAAAGGGGAGATGAAAAGACTTTTCTTCAGGACAGTGGAACACCAAACCACCTTTGTATGACTCAATGAAGTTTCTTTCTCTGTCCCTCGTGGGTCCTCAGAGATGAGTCTGGACTTCCTTGGAAAGGGAAGGGAGCTTAAAATAGTAAAAGAAAAAATAGAATCTTACGTCAACTTCTGTAGCAAAGTAAATGTTTATTATGTACAATGCAGTTCTTACTCTTTTAAAATCTATTTTAGGAACTTGATTGTTCACATATTTATTTAATATATGTTGATTATCTGCTAATGCCAGGTCTTGGAGTAGGAGATGTGAATACTCTTTAAATCAGATATAGTCTCTGACTTCGAGGAGTTTGCAATCTAATGTAGAATATGGACAATTAGTTACACAAGCAAGTACAATACAGTGGATGAGTATTATAACATGTATAATTATAGGAAGCTTAGGGAGCAAACAAATGGGACCTCTGATGCAGTTTTGATGAATGAGGTTGTCTGAAGAAACAAGTTTAAGACTGTGACGTAGTGCCTTAGTCTTGGTGATGAGTAGGACTAAGACCAGTGGAGAGGAGAGAAGGCGGTACTGCTTTGCTAGTGTGGGGGAAAGCAAGTACAAGGTGGTAAGATGTAAGAGAATATGGCCCAACTGGGTTCCTGAAATTGTTGAGCATTGCATGGAAAATATGCGTGGAGTGAAGAGATAAAAGTAGGGACCAGATATGTAAACAAGACCTGAGTCTTTAAGAAAATTCTCAGTCTCTTTGCTCTAGTAATGCTGGTTTGTTCAGCAAAGACATATTCTCATATGGAAAGACACTGAGGTGACTGGTTCAGGGCATCATCACTAGGACCCAATTATACTAGTGGTACCACTAAGACACTCAGAGTTCTGAGGAATTGCAAACATTCCTCTACTTTTAACTCAGGGTTGCCTTAGTAATTTTGCAACTTACCTAAGCACCTTGTTTCCCTATCCCATCTCCTTATCTCTTCCCTTCCTCTTCTCTGCATCCTGACATCATCCTTAGAGGTTGAGCTAATGAGTTCCATTTAACCTAGATGCTCACAATTTTTTCAGAATGGAGCATTCATTTATAAAGCAAAAGGACATCTTTGCAAATGTTGTTGATCTCTCCCAGTGTAACCTTGATGCATTTTGTCCTTAGACTCTCTTCATCAGAGGTAAGGTTGGACAAAGACAAAGAGACTAGAGGGGGCAGTAATTCTGGCCTTGTCCCACTTCTGTAAAGGTAACCCTATGAGTCATTGCATAGTAAGTAAAAGGGCTAAATTGGGTTAAGTAAAAAACAAAAAAACAAACAAACAGCTAATTAGCCTGTTTGAGGAAATGCTGCTTCAAAATAGAGCAGATTGGAGTGAAAAGTTTAAATGAAGAGCAAAGCTGCACATAAATACAAGTGATATTTTGTCACCCTGTAGGAATGAATGGGACTATTGACCAGTAATCTGTTTATTTAAGTTCCAACCAGCACTTAACAAAGAGCACCCAGAGATCTTCACCATAGCCATGGGACCAAGTCCATCATCCAAGAAAGGGAAGAGCTGAAGAAAGAGTCAAAACAAAGACAGGCATTTACTTTTTCCACCTTGCCAAGTAACTCTTCTTCTTCCAGGAAACTCCTCACAAGAAAACTGAATGTCTTTCTAGTGCGTTAAACAGTTTATGTCCCATCCCCACCTCTCCGCCCCACTCCCACTTCAAATAGGTATTGTAGAATTAGGAAATTTTTGTAAACGTAAACAAAGTTGTATTCACATAATAAAGCAGAATGCGGTGGGAAAAACATGGACTTTGAAGTGAGATGAACTTGGGTTTGAATCTTTCCCCTGCTGATTAACCAAGAGACCTAGAGCAAGTCAACTCTATGCTGGCATTGCATCTGCTACTGCTAAAATTTGAGCCACCTTTCCCAAAACCAGTAGCAAAGTCTCAACTTGCACCTGGAATTTTTTCTCCCTTTGAGGAAATTAGTCTCAGCTCAACAGCCCTTGAGGTTAAGAGAATCATAGACAAAATGCTAAACACATATCACTGAATTTGACCTACAATATTGTTAATACTAAGATCATAAACATAAAATACCTACCCCCTGAAATTTTAGTCAATAAAACTAAGACTTAGTTGAAAGATTTAAAACACATTCTTGCCTTTTACAGATAAAAAACATTTCTCTGTACTTCGTTAATATGATAACTTAATTTCCTCCAGGGCTACAGAACATTTCAGTTCCATCTCCAAATTCAAATGTCTCCAGTTAACGATTCATAAAAATACTAAGAAAAGTTGGTCCATACTGCTAAAAGTGTTCTACCTTTTAAAGAAAAGACATTTTTCAAAGTCTTGACAAGTTAGAGAACAGAAACAGCTAAATGCTTTGGTTTTGAGCAATGTCAAGTCAGAGTAACTTAAATTTAAGGGTATGCATGGCTGTTGGACTAGGTCAACCCTGCCTTCAAACCTACCCCTCCACCACTTATTAACCAAACAACCATGGGAAGTTATTTTAACCTCATTGTCTCAGTTTCCTCATCTGTAAAATGAAGATAACTCCGATTCCACAGGATCACAGTGAGAGTTAAGTGAAGAAATACATGGAAAACGTCAAGAGTGGTGCCTGGCACATACGAAGTACTCAATAAATGTCAGTTTTTTCCCTCTAATCTGTCACTTAAGGTACACTTCACCTTGCCTGGAGTGGGAGAACTATATATATATATATATTTTTTTAATATAAATCAAAAAGTAAAGATGTATTGACACAACAGATCTCTTAAAGCTGTTTTTTTTCTTCTAATTATAGAGCTTTCTTTTTATGCCTAAAAATTTAATTCATGTTTATGTGTTTAAAAAAACACTGTTGATATACACAGGGGATTGAGTATTGTTTCCAATTCTATCTCCCAAATCAATGAAGATTTTGAGATGGAGTTTAAAGGATGGGATTGGAGGAAGAGGCTGGTTGTGGAAACAGACATTTATTATGGACTTGGGAGATCTAAGATCAGCCTGTCTTCAATATGAAAAAAATAATAATTAAGTGTAACTGTTTACTTGTAGTCATTTCTTTGTTATATTTTTGGAAAAAAAGTTTTAGAGATTGTTTACTCCAGTGTTTATAATAAAATATATATCTTCAAAATAACAATTATATGTTATTTGCCACTAGGATTCTTTCGTGTGAAGTAAAGATCATAGGAAATGAAATCACATGGCAAAAAGGGAAGTTGCTATATTAGAAATGACTGGACTTATGCGTGCATTTAATTTTGTCTTGAGGTAACCAAGACCCACACAAGCAGTTGAGTCAAGGGACAGGAAGTAAGAAAAAGGTTTTAAAAATGGTGATTCAAGGTTGTACAATTTTATAAAGTTATTCTTCCTCTTTTCTTAAAAGTTTATTACTTTGATCTTTTCTTATAGACAAGTGATATTCTTAAAAGCTGAGTTGAGATGAAACTCTTAGCAATTTGAAGAAAGTAGCTAAAGTGGAAAAACAGATCTTATGTTGTAGTTTCACCATTCTCCTTTCATAAAACTTTGATTGTTTTGAAGTTTTTGTTTCAAAATGTGAGCTTCACCTTAATTAGTTCTTTTCCCCAGTTTGGCCTTAGGGATTATTGAAGTATTTAAGACACAATCTGATTGGAATCCAAAGTCCATGCCAGTAAATCACAGCAAGATCCTTTCTGACCCACCTCCTAGAGAAATAGAAATAAAAACAAAAATAAGCAAATGGGACCTAATGAAACTTAAAAGCTTCTGCACAGCAAAGGAAACCATAAACAAGACGAAAAGACAACACTCAGAATGGGAGAAAATATTTGCAAATGAAGCAACTGACAAAGGATTAATCTCCAAAATAGACAAGCAGCTCATGCAGCTCAATATCAAAAAAACAAACAACCCAATCCAAAAATGGGCAGAAGACCTAAATAGACATTTCTCCAAAGAAGACATACAGATTGCCAACAAACACATGAAAGGATTCTCAATATCACTAATCCTTACAGAAATGCAAATCAAAACTACAGTGAGGTATCACCTCACACCAGTCAGAATGGCCATCATCAAAAACTCTACAAAGAACAAATGATGGAGAGGGTGTGGAGAAAAGGGAACCGTCTTGCACTGTTGGTGGGAATGTAAATTGATACAGCCACTATGGAGAACAGTAAGGAGGTTCCTTAAAAACTAAAAATAGAACTACCATATGACCCAGCTATCCCACTACTGGGCATATACCCTGAGAAAATCATAATTCAAAAAGAGTCATGTACCACAATGTTCACTGCAGCTCTATTTACAATAGCCAGGACATGGAAGCAACCTAAGTGTCCATCGACAGATGAATGGATAAAGAAGATGTGGCACATATATACAATGGAATATTACTCAGCCTAAAAAGAAACAAAATTGAGTTATTTGTAGTGAGGTGGATGGACGTAGAGTCTGTCCTACAGAGTGAAGTAAGTCAGAAAGAGAAAAACAAATACTGTAGGCTAATGTATATATATGGAACCTAAAAAAAAAAAAAAAAAAGTGGTTCTGAAGAACCTAGGGGCAGGACAGGAATAAAGACGTAGACAGAAAGAATAGACTTGAGGACACGGGGAGGGGGAAAGGTAAGCTGGGACGAAGTTAGAGAGTGGCATGGACATATATACACTACCAAATGTAAAATAGATAGCTAGTGGGAAGCAGCTGCATAGCACAGGGAAATCAGCTCCGTGCTTTGTGACCACCTAGAGGGGTGGGATAGGGAGGGTGGGAGGGAGACGCAAGAGGGAGGGGCTTTGGGGATATATGTATACATATAGCTGATTCACTTTTTTATACAGCAGAAACTAACACACCATTGTAAAGGAATTATACTCCAATGAAGAAAAAAGTCCATGTCAGATTCTGTTAAAATGAGCTCAACCCATCTGTGCAGTTGTTGATGTAAGTCTTACCTGACTGGAAATTCCTCAAGGTCAGAGACCATGTCTGCCTTCTTTACACCGTGTGCCAGCTTCTAGCCCAGTGTCTGCAACAAACAGGTGCTCGATAAACATTTCTCAAATGAAAGTAAAACTTCCCCAGTTCTCAGAAGTTTTCCCACCAAGAGCATTATCAGCAAAAGGAAGTAAAAATGTTTATCTTTGTCTATTTTTGTTCTCCCTCAGGGACAATTGTTTTATTTTCATGAACCCAGAAGGATCCAGTATGGAAACTACAGTTTTAGTTCACGCTCTCATTTAGTGATGGATAGATAAAACAGTAACCAGTTCAGTCAAGCAGCAGTTTCCTCGTTTGGTGAATAAACCAAACCAAGCAGCTTTCTAGGCTGCTCCCGGGCTGGGGTAAGAGGTACAACATAGCAGGCAGGGAGAGGGGTGGAGAGCAGTGTGTGGGGACTCTCGGTGACTAGCATCCACTGATGGAGGAGGTCTCTGCTGCCTCCTTCTTCCCATCAGCTGTGTTTCACAGACCACGGAGAGTCCAGAAGACCACACAGACAGTCTTTCCAGAGGCCAGTGAGTGAACTTGAATGGTGACCCACAGAGTTAGTCTAATTAACCTTAAACGTGCTAAGACTAAACAGATTCACTTCCCTTGTGAATAAAAATAAGACTAACTTTTCTTTAATCATACGTACAACAGTTATCGCCATCCAATGGAGAAAGTGACCAACTTTTCCTGTGCATTGTTCCTACCACATAATCAGTCCCTAATAACCCGCAGTGGTTCTTAACCTTTTTCATTTTAACCACTTAATCCTTTGAAAATATAATGAAAGTCCTGTGCCCTCTCCTTACCCCTAAATCCACCTAAGCCTAAATGTACAAAGTTGTGAATCGAGTTTCAGAAATTCACTGACCTCTGTTAAAAACTCTTAAGGAGTAAAATCAATAAAGGGTATATTGGAAGTAGAACACTTGAGATTAATGAGTGCATTCTGAGTTTACTGTCTTTAGGTCAACTGAAAGAGAAATGATATTTTCTGCCTGCTGCTTGTGGTCCCTGCATACGTCCAGGACAGAGGCTTTAGGAAAAAATTCTTGATGTTCTCAAAAGAGAAGGTGGAGATGGATAAGGACAAGAGTGAGAAAGTAGAAGAGAATCTTCATATTCAATGAGTTCAAGATATGAATGACCTTTAGTTTTCTTGTTGCCCGTAAGAGGAAAGCCCAAATCCATCCAAAAAGATGAAAAGTGAGTACTGCTTTCAACTGATGCAATCTCCTTAGCTAGTTTGCTAAAAGGCAGTGCCAGTGGCATAAGGCGACTAAGATAGAGGGTGAAAGTTTATTCCTTTCATAATTCCCTTCAGCTCGCCAAATAGATATATAATTCAAGAAAAATCTATATGATGTTTTCACATAAAAAGAAAACAAAATCAGAAAATAATTCCGCTTGTGTATGGGTTTAGAGATGTGAGCCAGCCTCTCAGAATTCCCCAAATTTATGCAAAATAAGGATATAAAACTTCTTTATCCATCTCTCCTTAATCTGGTGCTCTGTATTATCTGATTTCCAGATTTGAGATGCTTTTGCCTCGAGGCAGTTTATCTTCTCATCTAACATAATTTACTATTTGCCACATCTAGGGTGTTCTTTTTCTTGATTATATCATTGTTACTCATCAAAATTAAATCCTTCTTCGTGATCCCTAAACCAGGAAGGAGGAAATCACCACCCACAGAATCCAGTGGAGTTCTAAACAAAGGAACATCTGTCCACTCCAGACCTGTTGGATGAACTTTTCATGTACTTCCCTTTCCCCAACTGTTTGGGGGGTGGTGAATCTGGAAAACACCACTGGCATTGTCCTCTACAAAGTTGGAGATAAAAGCAAAATGGGCAGCAGAGGGTAGAAATAGATAAAAATAACACACCCAGCCAGAAAAGCAGGACCTTGAAAACACACACTAAAGAGACCCAAAGAAAAATGAAACAGGTATTGGAGAGCCAAGGTTAATGGGGAGAATTAAAATGGCACATTTCTCTTCTGAGCTTGACTTGCTTAGGCATCAGCGATGAGTGCAGAGATACCTCCCTCAAGAATAATTGTACTAACAGGGCCTTATAACTTAGTACATCATATGTTTTATTTTTTGTAATTGTCACAATGACCCTATATTTTTGTATTATTTATTCCCATTTAACAGATGAGGAAACAGACTCAAAGAGATTAAGCAATTTGCAGATGGTCAGCCAGCAAGTAGGAGAGAGAATTAGGATTTGAATCTAAACAAGAAGTCCAGAGATTCTATGCCACCTCAAGGAAGTTTCTCTCCTGTGTCTGTGAGTCTCACACACTTGGTTTTGAGCACATTTCCCTTCTTTCCCGCACCCTCTCCTGCCTGAGAGGATTTAGAAGCCTGGAGAAGAGGAATTTGATTCAGTGAGGGAGAGGGGGACACCATAATCCAATAGAAGAACTAGTTCTTCCTCCTGTCAAAGCCTAGGGTTTTCATTTGTAAAATCAGGGAATTTGCCTATACGGTCCCTACTGTCTGATGCTTTATTCTAAGAAGCACAGTGTATGTGTAATAGTTGGAGAACTGTCCCTGGGAAACTCGACCACTTGTGCCAGGAGAGGACACTCGCCCAAACCTGAGATTTCACAAAATTTCAAGAGAATGTGCACTTGCCCTTAAATGTAGTTAACTAAAAAGTTTCACTTGCATGGTTCTCATCAACTGAGAGGAGAAGAGCCTTAATTTTGATGGGTTTAATGAAGAAAGAGTCTAGAATTGGAGGTCACGGGGATGGTGTGTTTACCATCAGACTCCTATTCCCCCCACCTTCCAAGAATGAGAGGAAGTGCTTCCCGTGCACCCCTTTCTTCTGACACCATTTCCTCTTACTTGGTTTCTTCATGACTCTTAGATCATTTGCAGCTGCTGACCCTTTACTGTGAAACAAGGAATACGGTTGGAGTTGGAAAATTTTTTTGAAAGAACTAAAGCCCATCTGATTTGTTGGAAAGCAAAAACATCAAATTTGATGGCTATTACTTGAAAATATATGGAAAGAGAATTCATTTTCCCATTATTCATCCATTTAACAAATATTTACAGAGTACCTTCTATATTTCAAACACTTTTCTAGTTGCTGGGGAAATGTTAGTGGAAAACGTGAATAGAAATGGCTACCCTTAGTTTTAGTTGTATAAATGTTATGAGGAAAAGAGCAGGGCAGGGTGATCAGGCTGTCAGGTGGGTGAGGGGATGAGCAGATTACAGCACTGGGGAGTCCAGGGAAGCCTCCCTGAGAGGTTGAGTTTGAACTAAGAACTGAAAGGTATAGGAATTGGCTAAATGGCTATGTGGGAGGATATTCCAGGCAAAGGGCCAGCTAGAGGTAACAGTTTGAGTTGGGAGCTTGGTTGTATACTTGAGGAATAGTAAAGGAGGCCAGCGTGGCTGGTGCAGGGAAAGGAAATAATGAATAGGAAAGGAGGACAAAGAGTAAGGGGCTATATCAGATGGGCTTTGTAGGTCATTATAAGGATTTCAGCTTTTATTCTGCATGGAGAGCCATTGGAGGGTCTGCAGTAAATCAGTGACATGATCTGACTCTCTAGCTGCTGGGTGGAGATGGGGCAGGGTGCGGGCGCTGCAGGGGAACAGTTTGTAGGGAAGGCAGATGACCAGTTAGAGGTTACTGTGGAAAGCCACAGTGATAATTGTTTATACCAGGCCAGAGTGGTAATAGCAGAGGTGGTAACTAGTGGTCAGATCCTGGATATTTTAAAGGCAACAGAAAATCCTTAGAGATTGGGTATGAGGTGAGAAAAAGAAAAGTCGTTGATGATGAAGATTTCAAATGCAAGCTGTTGGAAGGATGGAGTCTCCACAAGCTTAGATGCTTGAGGCAGCATCTAAACTACTGTTGCCAATACCCTTTAACCAACATCTCCCCATTTCCCCCACCCTCCCAACCCTGGTAACTACTGTTCTATTCTCTGCTTCTATGTATTTAACTTTTTTGATTCCACACATAAGTGAGATTATGCAGGTTGGGTATTTTTTGTTTTTTTTTTTCTTTCTGTGTCTGACTTATTTCACATAGCATAATGTCCTCCACATCCATCCATGTTGCTGCAAATGGCAAGATCTCCTTCTTTCCTAAGTCTGAATTATATGTGTGTATATATATATATATGGAAATTTCTTTTTTTTCTTCCGGCTTTATTGAGATATAATAGATATATAACATTGTATGAGTTTAAGGTGTACAATGTATTGATTTGATCCACTCATCCGTTGATGAATGCTTGGATCGTTTCCATATTTTGGCTGTTGTGAATAATGCTACAATGAATATGGGAGTGCAGATATCTCTTCAAGGTACTGATTTCAGTTTCTTAGGATATATGTCCAGAAGTAGGATTCTTGGATCATATGGTAATTCTATTTTTAGTTTTACAAGCAACTTCCATACTATTTTTCATAGTGGCTACACCGATTTATATTCTCACCAGCAGTATACAAGTGTTCCCCTTTCTCCACATCCTGGCCAACACTTATTATCTTTTATGGTTTTTCTTTTCTTTTCTTTTCTTTTTTTTTGTAATAGCCGTACCAACAGGTGTAGGCAGTGTTTCATTGTGGTTTGCCTTTCCCAGATGATCAGTGATGTTGAGCACCTTTTTATATATCTGTTGGCCACTTGTATGCCTTCTTTGGAAAAAATGTCTATTCAAGTCCTTTGCCCATTTTTTAATCAAGTTGGGTTTTTGGATTTTGTTGCTGTTGTTTTGCTATTGAGTTGTATGGGTTTTTTATATTTTGGATATTAGCCCCATATCACTTACATGGTTTGAAAATATTTTCTCCCAAACTCTGGGCTGACGTTTCAGTTTGTTGATGGTTTCCTTTGCTGTGCAAGGGCAATTTAGTTTGATGTAGTCCCACTTGTTTATTTTCCCTTTTGTTGTCTGCACTTTTGGTGTCATATCCAAAAAATCATTGCCACGGACAATGTCCTGGATTATTTTTCCTATGCTTTCTTCTAGGAGTTTTATGGTTTTAGGTACTACATTTGTGTCTTTAATTCATTTTGAATTGATTTTTGTGTATGGTGTAAGATAAGGATCCAGTTTCATTCTTTTGCATGTGGATATCCAGTTTTCCT